AGCTGTTTTTTTTTTTGGTTTTGTTTTACAACAGCCCCCTGACTGACATCGACCACGATGCTAATAGAAACTTGTGTCGCAGGCTATGATGCAAATATTCGCTGACGAAATGTTGACATTTAATATTTATTCAACACATTTTTACAGCATCGGAAAACGTTAAAAATGTTTGTGTCACGTTTGTCGTCTGACAGAAACCATATTAAAACAAAAAATACATTTCCCTCCCATCTTTTTCCATTTTCAAAAATTTTTTAAAAAGCTCTAGGGACTCACTGGGGGTCGCTAAAGAGCCGCATATGCAGCTCGAGAGCCGCGTGTTGTCGACCCCTGCCCTAGTGTGAAAAAAATGTTCATGCATTAAAGCCATTCCCACTTTTCTTCTCCTCCTACAATGAAAAGTCCCCCTGTTCCGTTACACAAAATCTTTTTCTCTGCTTTTGCCTCGCACCGAGATTCACTACAACGAAAACAAGTCTTCTGCAAAAGTCTAATCCAACCTCAGCATGCCACAGCGACCTCTACTGCTTCGTTCGGAAACGGCAACAGCAACCACCACACTGGTTTACACATGCGCAGTAGTACAGGGAATATTTGTTTCAGACTCAGCGCGAACGTTGTATTGCTAAAATGGCGACAAAACGGACCTTTGCATACCAAGGAGTTAAGAAAAGAAAGGCTTTAACGCTTGAAGACAGGATAAAGGTAATAAAAATGAAAGATGGAGGGAACAAAATAAAAGACATTATGCAAAAAACTGATGTAAGTGCAAGTAAATGCTGATCGTAAATTTTGCAATTTCGTTCCCTTTTTTTCTTTCTATGCTGGCTATATGAAGCGTCAAATAAGTGTATGCTCATACTTATGCACTATTGGAATAAAAATAAAAAGTACACGTATACATTTTTCGTGTGTGTTCGTGTTTACGTCTGAGATAAAATTTGCTACATCAAAGTCCCCTGTTGTGAAAAATTTCTTGCTGCAAACATGATTTCGTTGTAGAGGAGTTTCAGTGTGTGTGTGTGTGTGCGTGTGTGTGTGTGCGTGTGTGCGTGTGTGTGTGTGTGTGTATATATATATAACAATGACAACAACAATGTGTACGTGAAACTTTTCCCTATTCTTGTGCTTTGCTCCTTTTTATTTCATAATTTATTTTTCTGAGGCATCAACACAGAAAAATATAGATTAAAAATTGAGAATTTTAATTGAAAATAAATGAAACATTTAAAATGGGGAGGGAGGTGAATGGGATAACACTTTTAATGCTGCACATAGTATTTTAATTGAACATGAATTTTAAAAAGATATCCGGAAGAAAAGAGGAAAGCCAGCTGAAGGAATTTTCATGTTGTTTTTTTCCCCTCATCGTAACATTTTAAATATAGTTTTGCACCTTGGGTCAATTTGACATGAAGCATATCAAGAGCATTCTGTGTTATTTTCAACTTGTTTGACTGTTCAGAATAATAAAAGATGGCCTGCCGAGTTCATAAATCTTATTGATGCATACGCATTGCAAACAATACACACCTAAAAGTAAAGCTTTTCACCTGAAGGTCTAAAAGTGACGTTCGATACAAAATGGGCTGAGAGCTTGTGAAATTGCATCCACTTTGGGTAGTGAGTATGGTGCATGGTGTGTAATGTGGGGGCATTATCCGCCACTTTCGTTCCAGCACGCTCCAGTTTAAGTCAATACCCGACAGACTTTTTAAATGTAGGCGGACCCGAGAATGGGATTACCACACAGGTAGTATCTTTTCTGCAGGGCTGCCTTGGCAGTCTCCCAGTATTTGAAAAAAAAAAAAAAAAAAAAAAAAAATTTTTTTTTTTTTTTTCCCAAGAGGTAGGTGTTTGT